GGACGCTGGGCCAGGGCTTCACCGGGAAATAGGGGCCAGGACTTCACCAGGAAATAGGGGCCAGGACGAAGGGTGACGGGGAGGAGTCGGGTGGGCGGCTCAGATGGGAGTCTCTGCTAGAGGCAGGAGATGAGCAGGAAAGGAGGGGGGTTGTAGGGTCCAGCCCTACAGGGTTCTGTGAGCCCCTCCCTGCCAGAGAAACTGTAGAAATAGAAGATACAAGACACAGAGATAGAGAAAAGAAAGTTTGGGCCCAGGCGTCCGCTGCCAACCAAAGCTTGGAGGCCTGCCGGGACCCCGAGTGTCCGCACACTCTGACTTTATTGAGTACAAAGCTGGGGGCAGGGAAAAGTACATCACCGGTCAAACACGGAAGGGCGCAGGGATTTTCCACAGCTGAGATGAGGTGAGGGGCATAAGGCATCAGCACGTTTCCATACTTGTCACAGAGACATTAAGATTTATGTTACTTTTATGGATTAATTCTTACAAGAAAAAAGGAGCCAGGTGCAGAAGCGGGTCATGAGATTGACATGGAACGTGACCGCTGAAGCGAAGCATCACGTAGAGACGTTTAAACCCCCGACGTCTGAGGGAGTTTAAACCCCTGAGGAAGGAGCTGTGTCCGTCATCTTGGACGTCTCCTTCCCCAGCTGGCTAAACAGCAGGCGCTTTCCCAGCGCTGGCGCTGCCGCCCAGCCGAGGCGCCCTCCAGCAGCCCTGGCGCGGGCGGGACAGGGGGCTTAGAGCCTCTCGCCTTAGGGTCATTCATTTCACAATGTCACCCCAGGCTCACACTTCCGACCTGAGAGGCATCAGTAAAAGAATTAAGATCTGGGTCTGTTGGTGGGGAATAGGGGAGGGACAGCGGGGGGTAGGGAGGTTGGGGAGGGATAGCACTGGGAGAAATGCCAGATACAGGTGACCGGGGGAGGTGAAGGCAGCAAACCACATTGCCATGTGTGTACCCACGCAACAACCCTGCGTGATCCGCTTGTGTTCCCCAGAATATATGTATATAGGCAATTATACATAGATATGCAATTATATAGATATATCTATATATCTTTTACATTAAAAGAGGCTTAAGGAACTTAGCAACTGGAAAAAAAAAGAATTAAGACCACCTGTGAATCCCTAAGATCACCTGTGACTCACTGATAACTACTACGGTTCTATTTCTAGTTACTTCCTTCTTCACTGTTTGTGTGGAAACAGGCGGAGGCCTTTGGGTCCTGCCCCAGCACTTCGGCCTTCTCCCTGCAGGGGAGGCACACCCTGGGCCCCTCCATCCTCCCGCCGTGGCGGTCGGGTCGTTCCCCTCCCAGCTTCTGCCTCCAGTCGTGGGGAAACGGGTCTCGTCCCAGGCACAAAACGAATCTGTGGCTCAGAGGCCTGGGCACACCCCTACCAGCGGGGCCTGGGCCTGTCGGGTGGCCGGTGAAGGTGGCGGGGGGTCGGCTGGGCACAGCGGGTGTCGCTGATTCGGGGATATCTCAGTGGACACAGTCGGGAAGTGTAGGTCAGATGTAGATCCGGGTTTTTTGGGGCAAATCTGAGACCACTTGAGCATAAAGGTCCACGGCAGTAGCCACGGACGGAGCCACAGAGGTCAGGAGGGCCCGCGGAGCGCTGGGCTGTTGGGTGCGAAGGGGCGGGTGGGGCTCCTCTCTGGGTGGAGCGAGGGTGGAGGGAACGCCCAAGCGTGGCGGGGGAGGGCAGGGTGGCTGCATGCCCAGCAGCCGTCCGGGAACTCCTCGTTCAGCAAGAAATACCGGCAGGTGAAAGTTTGAGGAGAAACAAGCTATTCCATCGTCCCACACCCGCAGGACCTCCCCAAACGCAGTTTCACCGCAAATAGGAGCTGAGCTCAAGCTTAGAAAATCGCTTCAACCGTGACATCTATTTAATGTCACGCACGTGGCCAACCAGTCCAGCCTTGGTTGTGAGGCCGTGCCCGGGCCTGTCCTGCTGAGGATTCACACCGGCGGACAGCTGGGGTCCGGAGGGCCCTCTGGGCTGCGCGTGTGGGCTGAGAGCCGGGGCTGCTTGTCAGGGCTCCGGGGAGCTCAGGCGGCAGCAGAACGGAGGGTCCAGGCGCTCACTGGGCCATGGGGAGGGCATGTGGCACCCCCAGCCCCACCCCAGCAGGGGCCCACCTGAGCCCCGAGCTCCTCCGGCGCCTGCGGTCCCGCCGGACACAGCCTCTCGGCAGCTGCCGCTCCAGGTCTCTGGTGTCGGGTGCGCAGTCTTTCAGTCAGTGGTTTGGGCTCTCCCCTGTGGATGTGGGTGTTGTCTCCTCCTCGGCCACTGTGGTGACATGCGGAGGAGCCTGCAGGGCCTCGGTGACTGACTGTTCCTCACCTGCCTCCTGTCCGGGGACACGACAGGTCCTCGGGCTCATCTTACTGCTATCAGTTCGAGGAGGTGGCTTCCCTCCTGAGCTAGCGTGGCTATAATGGAGGGACTCAGGAGCCTCAGAGAACTGGAACCCCTGACCCTGCGCACCAAAAACACCAGCCCAATGGGGAGCGGAGAAGGGGAGGGCAGAGGAGAATCAATACCTGGAGGGAGGCATTCAGCTGGAAGTCGCCTGCAATGAACAGACACACAGGTCAGGTGGGGCAGTGTCTGATCAGGGGTCACAGGCTCGGCAATGGGGGTCTCATGGCGATGAGGGGGACAGGCTCTCAGCGGTGGCAGGGGCACCAACTCCTGCCTCTCCCTGGGAGACCTTCCCTAAGGGACTGGCTGTCTGACAGCAGAGACCAGCTGTGTTTGGACTGCCCGCCCGGCCTGTCCAGGAGGCCCAGTACGGCGAGAGGGCTGGGGTCTCCCGGCCCACCTCCTCAGCTGCTGCCCCAAGTACGTAACTAAACCAGATTCAACCATCATCTACGGGAGAGGGGCAAGCACCTGACAGCGGAGAGGCCCTGCCCCCCATTCCAGCAGGTGCCCAGCTGGGTGAGACTGAGCTGCTGCCCAGCCTGCCCCAGAGCCTGAGGCCCTGGGACCTCCCTGCATTGGGGGCCACAGGGGAGGATCAGGTAGCTCTGCTGCCGTTGGCTGGAGGATGGGGCTGGCCACCCCTTTGGACCTCAGTGTTCGAAGCTGTGTCCCCGGGGGCTGTGCACAGGGCTCCCAGGGCCACAGCTGGGTCCATACAGCTGGGTCAGTTCCCAGGAGGCCAGGCACGGCACAGGTGCCCACAGCACCGTGGATAAGTGGAGGAATGAGTGAATGAATGAATGGCCTTACTCTCCTCAGTGAGGACATGGCCTTGTCTGTTGATTCTCAGCCCAGAGCCTGTCCCGGCCAAGCTCAGCCTGCCCTCCTTCCTGCAGCCCCTGGGAGCAGGCGGAGCACAGGACCCTGGAGTGTGTGGACAGGGGCGGCCTTCCCTTCCCCTGGGGCAGCCACGTGACACCCGGGCTCCGGGCACAGCAGGAAGCCCACCTGCCCCGGCCTACAGCGGCAGCCCTGGGAGGAGCCTCAGATCCTGGAAAAGCTCTGGGGCCACCTCCCAGGTTTGGGAGACAGAGCCCCATCTGAGAGCGTCAGGGGTGAGCCCTGATGTGGCCGCTGTGTGCTCACCCCTTCGCTTCCTTCTTCTTTTCCTCCATATGATTAGGCCCGGTATGAGGACAATGACGACGATGCCGATGACAATGACGACGGGAGGCCACGCCCCGGGGAAGCTGCTGGTCCCAGGTCCCGCCTCGGTCTCCAGCCAGCTGCTGCACCTGCGGGAGTGGGGCCGAGGGCGTGGGAGCGGCAGGTGCAGCCCCCACGCTCAACCCCGGGGAGGTCCCGGCTCACAGGGCTCTGGGCGGTGAAGGCAGGTCCCAGGGAGGCAGCTCCGGGATGAGACCTCAGAGGGCTGTCTGACTTTTCCAAGCCCGGCTATGGGGAGGTCGAGAGAAGAAAGGAAAAGGAGAGAAACAAGGAGAGTCTGGGCAGAGAGGACAGGATGGCAGAGGGATAGGGAGAGAAGCGGGAGGCGGCGGCATGCAGGGACCGCGGGGCAGGGGCGCCAGCGGCGGGGAAGGACAGAGGGTGGAGGGAGAGCCAGTGTCGGGATGGAAACTTGCAGCCAGAGCCAGAGACGGACAGGACTGAGCTGGGGCCAGAGCACGAGGAGGGCAGAGCAGGGTGGAAGGCCCCTCTGCCCCTCTCCCTGGGGCAGCCAACTTGCCCCATCCCAAGCTCCACCGGGGCACCCTAGCTCTTCTCAAGAAGCTCTGAAGTCTCAGGTCAGCTGGGCCCAGGGTCAGCATTTGAGGTGTCCCCCCAACAGGCAGACAAAGAGCAGGGAGCTCACTTTGAGAACTCACAGCCTCTCCCGCCCCCTGAAGCCCAGGGAGCCCTCCATGGCCCTGACATGCAGGGACGCCCACCACCCCAGGGGACAGGGTCTCCGGAGGCAGCCTCCCTCTGGCCCGCTTCTGGGAAGGCCCATCCTGAGTCTCCAGGAAGCTCGGATCTGATGAGGCTTTATCTGGGGCACACAGGCTTCAGCTCTGCGGCTCTCCTAGACGCAGGCCTGTGACCAGGTGCCGCCCAGGGCGGGACCTTCAGACCTTTCTCCTGGAGAAGACGGTCATCTCCCAGGGAAGCAATGTGGAGCCCCCACCCCAGGGCACAGCACTGGGTTTCCCCTGAGGTCACTTACTTGGTCCGGTGCTGACATCCCTCCAGGGTCCCAATGGGAGAGAAGGTCCCTGGGGGGCAGTTCTGACACAGGGTGTCCTGACCCTCGGTGCCTGAGAAAAGAAAGGGACGGGCAGAGGGGGCTGAAGGCTGGGGGCATGAGGCGGGGAGGGGGCTGGGGGCATGAGGCGGGGAGGGGGCTGGGGGCACCAGGCTGGGAGGAGCTGGGGGCACCAGGCTGGGAGGGGGCTGGGGGCACCAGGCTGGGAGGGGGCTGGGGGCACCAGGCTGGGAGGGGGCTGGGGGCACCAGGCTGGGAGAGGGCTGGGGGCACCAGGCTGGGAGGAGCTGGGGGCACCAGGCTGGGAGGGGGCTGGGGGCACCAGGCTGGGAGGGGGCTGGGGGCACCAGGCTGGGAGGGGGCTGGGGGCACCAGGCTGGGAAGGGGCTGGGGGCACCAGGCTGGGAGGAGCTGGGGGCACCAGGCTGGGAGGAGCTGGGGGTACCAGGCTGGGAGGGGGCTGGGGGTACCAGGCTGGGAGGGGGCTGGGGGCACCAGGCTGGGAAGGGGCTGGGGGCACCAGGCTGGGAAGGGGCTGGGGGCACCAGGCTGGGAAGGGGCTGGGGGCACCAGGCTGGGAGGGGCTGGGGGCTGTTTGTCTGTGCCCTTCTAGATCAGGGTGCTCTGCTGGTGGTGTGAGAGCCTGGGGGAGGGGCAGGCTCCCTGTTGGGAGTCCTGCAGGTGAGGCCTGGGGTGGTGGCTCTGGCTGTCCCAGACCTTGAGAGGTTGGGATTCGATGAGTCTGGGGGTCTCTGTGTCCAAATCCCACAACACCGTGGGGACTGCCTGTCAGGTGCCAGGCCAGGCTGAGAACTCACTCCTCCCAGACTGAGCTTGAACAGTGGCAACGACCATGGCCACTCCTATAAACCCAGGCTCCATGCCTGGGGCCCAAGAGTGAGGCCTGGGACTGGGGAGTCCCAGAACCCCGAGGGTGATGCACCTGGGTGGCCTTTCCCTGCCCCTCCCCCACCTCCATCGCCTGTTCCCTGCTGGGCAAGGCCCGGGTGTGTGGCCCGGAGCTGGCCAAGGTTCTGCCTCACCAGGGCCCCTGGGCAGGCCATGATGTCGAGACCTGGGGAACCACCCACCACTCACCTCCCTCCTGCACCTTCTGGCCCGGGCTGGAGGTGGCGTAGGCCTGGCACGCAGCACAGTGGTCCCCATCCTGGAGGACGCAGACGTGGCCTGGGCCGCAGCTGCACAGGGTGTTCTCTGTCCTGGAGCAGTTCCGGGTGGCGAGCAGGCCCATAGCTGGGGTCCGAGAGGAAGAGCTGAGAGCAGCTGCCGGGCCGGGAGGCTGTGCTGATGCCCCGTCCTGGACGCAGTGTGCAGAGGCCGGGACTGCTGCCCGGGTCCCCTGCCGGGCTGCACCTCTGGCTCAACCGATGAGGTGCCTGGCATGGAGGACCTGAGGCCCGGAGGGGCACCCAGGGACAGCTGAGCTGTGTGTGGGATGAGGGCCTGCGGGAGGGTCCTGTGAGGGTCTCACTGATGGGAGCCAGGCCTTGTGGAGAAACCAGCCTTCTGCCCAGATGGGCAGGACACGGAGCTCCCACTGCCAGTCCTGGGGCAGGGTCCCTCGGGCGGGTCTTCACCCTACGCGCCCACTCTGGACACTCAGCCCTCAGGCAGGTTTCCCATCTGTACAAACCAGGCAGGTAGGGTGAGAGCCCCCTTCTTCAGGTACTGCTGGAGGTGGGGTACCAGCTGGGTCTGAGCCCCACTCACCTGCAGGCTGTACCCCCAGATTCTCAGCCCAATCAGACAGGTAATTTCACAAGGGGGGAGGGCACCGGACTGGGCATGCAGGTTGAGGTGTGAACCCCAAATCCCATGCATAAACCTTCAAAGCGCTCCAGCTGCTGTTGTGTTCACAGCTGGCCCAGCTGCGGTGCCCCCCTGCAGGCCCAGGCCCTGCCACAGCTGCGCTCCTGCCCGGCCTGGCTCGAGGCTCCGACAGGACAGAGCCGCTGGCGGCATGGCCGGGCTCTGCGCCCCAACTCGAAGGCATGCCCCCAGGTCTGGTTCCCCTGTCCGCCTCCACCCAGGCGGGCACCACCCTCCAGGTGGCCCCTTGCCCTGGGGTCATGTGGGAACCCAATTTCTGGAGGAGAAAGCGACAAGGAGCCCTGTGGGGAAGCAGCAGGTCCCAGTGCCCTCCAGAGAGCCCCAGCACTGGCCCAGGCCACTTTCCAGCTAGGGACTGGGGGGCTAGGGACTCCAGGGCTCCCTCCCCAAGTCCCCACAAACACCCAGCACTCGAGGGCACACCTGAGTGTGCTCAGGGTGAGTGGGGGACACACAGGAGGAGGCCTGCAGGGGGGCTGTGGTTCTGCCTCTCTCCCCCCGTGCTGAGGGCACAGGAGAGGTCTGGGCACCCACCCAGGGCACCGGAGGAGCCATGGTTGAGGCCAATGGTCAGGTGCTGAGCTTAGGACGGCCCACCTGACGAAATGAGCGGTGGGAGACGGCCCCCTCGTGGTGAGGCAGAGGTGGGCGGAGGCTGGTGCTGGCCTGAAGGTGTCCCCTGCAGGGCGCACCCATGGAGATGGGGCAGGACCTGGCCTGGGGCAGCTGGGGCCTCCAGGGAGACTGTGGTCCATGGCAAGAGGGTGCGGGTCATCCAGGCTGCCGGAGCGGAGGCTGGGCCGGCTGTGTTGGTCTCTTACCTGGGTCACACATTCGGCACTTCAGACACTTGTTCAGGCCATTGAGGTGGGTGATGTAGGTCCCTGGAGGGCAGGGCTCACACACTGTGCCCGTCAGCTCCCCGCAAGCCTGCTTCACGCGGTAACCTGCCGCCCAGAGGGTGGGACTTGGCGGGGCTGTGGGAGACCCCTGCGGGAGCCCACCCATCATGCATGCCTGTGCCTGGAGGCTGAGCAGGGGGACACCAGCTAAGGGGACTCAAATGGCCCATGAGCTGTTCCCTGAGGGACACAGCAGCCCCAGCTGCCTTCCATGAGCGGAGCTGCTCTGGGGAGAATCGGAAAGTTCTGGAAGCATGTGGGGCCTCCTGGGACACCTGGCCCAGCTCTGGTATGTCCCTCTCACCCCAGAGCCCACGTCTCTGGTCCACATGGGCCAGCCATGCCCTTCAGACCCGCCCCTGGGCAGTGTGGCCAGTCTCCCAGGGTGAGGTGCCCAAGCTGCTGCTCTGAGGCTCCCGCCCTCCCTGTGTGCACAGCTGGGCCGGGGGTTTCACGGCACCATGGCTGTGTGAGCAGAGAACACGGGATGTCCAGGGCAGGGAGGGGCACAAATGTCCGCCCTTGGCCTACGGAACCGGCCCACCGGGGGCTGTACTTACCCGGGCTGCACTTGGGGCAGCACTCGGTGCCCACTGGGTACTCATCCTCTTTGCAGGAGGGCAGAGCTGGGGCGCAGCAGGGGGCTCCCAGGAAGATGAGATACAGCACCTAAGGGCGCCAGAACAGGCGGTGGGAGATGCTTGGCCCCACAACCTGAGCCTCCCCCTGTGCAATGGGGAGGGTGGCAGTGTCTGGTAGAAGGGACAGCAGCGGGCTCCGGGCCAGGCTCAGGGAACAACCGTGCCCACCCCTGTAGCCTGGGGTCCGGTGGGGACCGCCCCTCCTCCAGCCTTGATTCCCCTGCCTGGCAGTGTGGCACCCTGGGAACTGACACTTGGTCCTCTCCAGGGACACCAACCCCACACCTGGGAGCCTTGAGCCCTCTGACAGACCACCTGTCGGCCCCTGTGCTGGTCTAGGCTGGACCTGCTGACCACTGTCGAGCCAGCAGGGCAGCCAGAGACTGCCCTCGGGGCTCACAAGCCAGATAGTGGGTGACAGGCTGGCCAGGGCCACGCTGGGAGGGCAGCTCTGCCGGGGCCTCGTTCCTGGGCTGGCTGATGAGTAGTCAGGGCCCCTGATGGGGGAAGCGGTTGGACAGGCAGGAGCGCCACACAGGCACGGAGGGTGTCCCCACCCGGGCCCAGCCTCCTGCTGCACAAACACTGATCTTGTCACTTGTCACCAAGGTCAGCGCTGCTGGGGAGTTGGGTCATCTGCTCCAGGCCCACCCAGAGACACCCAGCCCCCGGAAGTGCCCACATCCTGCCAAACAGACTCCCCAGCTGCCTGAGAATGGAGCGTTGAGTGGGGGACACACAGGAGGAGGCCTGTGGGGGGGCTGTGGTTCTGCCTCTCTCCCCCCGTGCTGAGCCCAGTGCTGGGGGTCTGGGTCAGCCGGAGAGCCCGGGCAGCAGGGGACGGGCTGAACGAGGGACCCAGCCACAGCCAGGAGGGGATGGTGGGGGCGGGGAAAGGAGTTCTCTGAGAGGCGCTGGGGTCAGAATCAGTATCAGAACAGACGGGGAGGAGGCTTGGGGGCTCACCAGCCTCAAGAGGTCGGCTTTGGGGGCTGGTCTCAAGGGAGGAGGCGCCATGTGCCTCAGCTCAGGCCAGCAGTCCAGGAACCCGGCCAGTGGGACGACCTCCAGCAGAGGAGCTTGGTGCCATTGCTGCGCCTACCAGCTCAAAGAGAAATAGAAAGAGAAAGAGAAACCACCCGTGCGAGAGGCCGTGCCTCGGAATCCGAGAATCCGCGTCGGGGGAGAGCTTGGGGGGGTGTCTGGGGGGAGAGAGGCTCCGGCCTGCCAGGTGAGGCAGCACTGGGGGACAGGTGGGCCTGCGGGGGGCGGGAGCTGTCCGGGCAGAGCCTAGGGAAGGGCAGGCGTGGAGGAGGCGCCCATGGGAGCAGCGAGTGCCCGCCTGCACCGCTTCAGTCCCCTCTGGGTTTCCTGTAGAGGAGGAGCCCCGAAAAGTGCATTCCCCACCTCGCTCACACATGCAGGGACCCCGAGGTGCTGACTGACCTTTTTGCCGAATAAAGGGGCCCTGTGGGTTTCCTGTTCCCATCTCAGCTCTGCCCAAGAGCCTAAACTTCCCTTCTGAATAAAAACCGCCGCAGCGCTGTCTGGCCAGTTTCAGTCACAAGCCCGCCAGCCCTTTGTCCCGTGACGTGACCGGAGGAGGGTGGGAAAGGCCCAGAGCCCCCACCTGCCTCCTGGGAGGGGAGGGAGCAGCTCTCGCCCCTCCGCAGAGACGCTGCGTGGACTGCAAAGGCTGCCGTCCTCGCCCGGTCTCCCTGTGGCCGCTGCCCTGCCCCGCAGAGCCGGGTGCTGGGGAGACGTCTGCACAGAGGCGGCCGCAGCCCCAGGCCTCAAGGCAGGCACCAGTGAGTCCCTTGTGACTGCCTGCTCCCCGAACCACACGGAGCCCTGTGACCCACATGACGCACCAGGGCCCCTGAGCCCCTTTCTGCTGCTGGGCGTGGTGCAGCCAGTGGAAGCCCGGGTCCATCACGAGCCACCCGCGCTTGTCCGGGGCAGGTCCCGTCTGCCCGCGTCCGTGCCTGCTCCACACCAGGAGCCGCCACCTCCAGCAAGCCTATCTTGGAGACGCCTGGCCCAGGACTGCCCCGAGGCCCTCCTGGTCCTGACTTTGGCCCGGGGACCCCCTTCCAGGGTCCAGCCCCAGCTCCAGGGTACTCAGTGATGTCGGGTGGAAGGGAGCTTCGGGATGGCCCCCACGGCCCCCACGCTCACCTACAGGAGAGCTGGCAGGGTAGCCAGTCACAGGAAGCCGTGGTGGGAGCCGGGAGGTCCACACCCCGACTAGAAAGTGTGTGGCCTGAAGGCTGGGGCCCTAGGGGTTCATCCCATGCTACCTGATTGTGTCGCATTGGCCACGGCCAGCGAGGGGAGGGCCCTGTCACAGCCTAATTGCACTCCCTGGTGCCCCGGGGGAAGGCCTGGGCACTGCAGAGGGACCAGGCAGGGTGTTGGTAGGCAGGCTGGGTTGGGTGGCACTGTCCTGTGGGGCCAAGCGTCCGAGCGCCAGAGGCAGGTGCACTGCTGGCTGTCATCCCGGGTGGACGAGCCCAGCCCCGGCCCCAATGCTCAGGAGGCAGGGTGGCAGACCAGGCTGTGCCCGGTAGAGGAGAAGCCCCGAGAGGCGCCCAGGAGCACGGACTCCACCCCACGGCTGGAGCCTGGGAGAGGGGACCCTGTCTGCTGCTTCCAGGGTGCGCTCACACCCCTGGCCCTCAGTGCCCCTGCCAGATGCCCCCCACATGCAGAGACCCCCCCCAGCCCACAGAGCCACATGGGGCTCCAAGGAAGAAGGGGTCCCCTTGTACCTTCCACCCCCGGATGCCCTAGTACTACTGTGGATACCCCAGCAGCTCCTGGGGGCCTTGGAGTGCATGAGGGCTCCCTCCCCAACTCCCCGCAAACACCCAGCACTCGAGGGCACGCCTGAGGGCAGGAAAGCAGGAGTCCCGGACAGTCACAGTGTCTACACCTGCTGGTACAGACTTCCAACCCCACCCCCTCAGACAGCCTCAAGAGGCACCTCATCCACCCCATCCTGGGAAGGAGGGAAACTGAGGCATGGCAAGAGACAAGACGGACATAGGCATCAGAGAGACTCGGCCCTCCTGCCTCTTCCTCGGTGCCCCTCCTACCCTGACTTCAGCCTCCCTGAGACTGAACGCCAAGGCCCCGAGCCTGGCACAGGGTCCCAGGTGTCCGTGTTCTCACTTCTCTGTGGTCTGCACCCCTTCCCTGGAAGGCAGACTCCAGGGGCCCAGGGTGTTGCCTCCCGGGCAGCAGGAGGAAAGATCCCGGATCCCGACCCAGCACTCAGCGCCCCCACTAAGTGCAGCACTCACGCCTTCATTCATTCAGCGTGGGCTCTCCCGGCACCAGCAGCGCCCAGGCCCCGTCCAGGGCACCAGGGTCATCAGGGAGGAAATGAGGGAGCCCAGGGAGGCCAGAGTCGGGGCCCCCCAGCCCCCAGCCGTCCCACTGCCGAGGTTGCCCGCAGGGTATCGCCCCCTCACCCCCAGGTCCCCCAGAACCAGCAGGGAGAGGGAGGCAGGCGAGCCCCCAGCCCCATGCCTGCTGTCTCGGGGACTCCCCAGACCCAACACACCCTGGTGGCCCAGGCCTCTCCTCTAACACCACTGTGACCTGGGCCCAGGGACAAAGGGCCCTTCCTCCTGTCAACAGTCAGGGCCTGAGCCCAGGGACCCAGGGATCCACTGAGAGCCTCCTCCCCACGAACTCAGGGCCAGGAGCCAGGCAGGGGATTTAGAGGGCATTCTGTGCACACCAGCCCCCAGGGCAGATGGGGGAAACTGAGGCTGAGGCTGGTCAATGTCACAAACATAAAACACAGGACCCTCACCCCCAGGCTGGGCCTCCCCCACCACTCTGCAACAGCTCAGGAGCCCCAGGCCCCCCAAGTGCAGCACGCCCATCACCCCACTGCCCTCTGTGAGGCCCTCCACCCAGCCTGACCTGGGTCTCCATGGAGCACCACAGGGTCAGCCCCACACCCCAGCTTCCCGACAGGGCCGCCTCCAGCTGTCCGAGAATCCCCAAACACACTTCCCCTTTCTCTTGATGGGAGCAGCTGGGCACGGAGGGTGGGAGAGGGGCTGTGCGCACCCAAGGCCGGAGCCCCACCCTGAGGGCTGGAGGGCAGGGTCCCGAGGCCCAGCTAAGGGCTCCCCCTCCACTCCTCAGCCTTCAAGGCCAGCCTGTGCCTCCCCTGCTCCGTGCCAGTGCAGGCCAGGGAGGGGGCTGAGGCCGAGGCCTGGTCACTGCCCTCCTGGTCACAGTCTGTGACGGATTCCAGTCTAGAAGCCAAACGTCTAGAGTCGTGTGGCGTGGACACTCAAGGGGGCTGCCTGGGCCACCACGCAGGGCTCTGAGGGATGAAGAGGAGCCCACGGGGAATGAGGTGGGAAGAGCCTTCTCTGAGAGACACACAGGGCCAGCCATGGCACAGCCGGACAGAGAGAGAGAGAGAGAGAGAGAGAGAGAGAGAGAGAGAGAGAAAGAGAGAGACAGAGAGAGACTCCAGGCACAGCCTGTGCCCCGGAGGCTTTGGGCAGCTGTCAGGCTGGTTGGCGGGCATGCAGAGCAGATGAAAGCCTGAGGAGGCTCTGGGGTCACCCAGGTGGGCAGCCCTCAGGGGAGGCCGCTGCAGAGGGCGGGAGGGCGGGGCAGGCGGCTGTGCAGGGGGCCGTGGGACCTGGAGGACTCTGCGTCCAGCTATGGTGGCCCAGGGTGGGGGTGGCTCCAAGGCCGGGGGCGTGCCCACGGAAGAGAGAGAACTTGGGGGCTGGGGACGGTCAGAGCAGGTGGGGGGGAGCGGGGGCAGCCGGGGTTTCCCAGAGGATGAGGTGTCTGCTGGGAGTCGAGGCAGCCCCAGACAAACCCAGGCCTCCAGCCCAGCCCAGTTCCTCCAGCGGCAGGTCACGGCATCAGCTGCCTGCTGGGAAAGCTCGGGCGCCTCTGGCTGGAGTGCCCACCCCAAAACTCCCGGCCCTGGGCTCCCCTCCCATGTCTTCTGCTTCCCCCCATCTCCCCTGGCCACCTTCCTGCCCAGAAACAGCATCTCTTCTCACCTCACATCAGGACCCTGGGCCCAGCTCTGTTCCCCATGTGGCCTTCCCTGCGGAAAAACTCCCCTGGACTGGGGTTCCTGCAGCCAGAACGCTCCTCACCCCTCCTCACCCCTCCTCACCCCTCCTCACCCCCTCCTCACCCCCTCCTCACCCCTCCTCACCCCTCCTCACCCCCTCCTCTCCCACCCCCTCCTCACCCCTCCTCCACCCCTCCTCACCCCTCCTCACCCCCTCCTCACCCCCCTCCTCACCGCCATCCTCACCCCCCTACTCATCCCCCTCACCACCCCTCACCCCTCTCCTCACCCCCCTCCCTCACCCTCCTCACCCTTTTCCTCACCCCCTCCTCAGCCCTCCCCTCACCCCTCTCTTCACCCTCTCCTCAGCCCCCTCCTCACCCCTCCTCACCCCTCCTCACCCCTCCTCACCCCTCCTCACCCCCTCCTTACCCCTCCTCACCCCTCCTCACCCCCTCCTCACCCCTCCTCACCCCTCCTCACCCCTCTCCTCACCCCTCCTCACTCCTCCTCACCCCTCCTCACCCCCTCCTCACCCCCTCCTCACCCTCCTCCACCCTCCTCACCCCCGCCTCAACGCCCCTCCTCCCTCCTCCTCACCCCCTCCTCACCCCTCCTCACCCCCTCCTCACCCCTCCTCAGCCCCTCCTCACCCCCCTCCTCACCCCTCCTCACCCCTCCTCACCCCTCCTCACCCCCTCCTCACCCCCTCCTCACCCCTCCTCACCCCCTCCTCACCCCTCCTCACCCCCTCCTCACCCCTCCTCACCCCCTCCTCACCCCTCCTCACCCCCTCCTCACCCCTCCTCAGCCCCACTCTCTCCCACCGCCCAGGCGTCCCCAGCTGGGCTCCATCCCTCCATGGGGCCCGGCATTCTGTCTCCAGGCAGCACGGGGAGCTCCTCCTGCTGTCCTCCTGCGTGTTCTCCTCCCCCACCCTCGGGGGCCATTTCCCATTCTGCTGCTGGGACCCCGAGCCCAGTTTGTGCTCCAGAGGCTCCCCAGGCGGCTCTCCCAGCCCTGCAGTGATCGGGACACTCACCCCTGGCCAGCTGGCACCATCCTTCCAGACATTCGAGTTCTCCAAGCTCACGGTCGCCCTAGGTCAGTGTGCAGACACCACCCCAGGCACCGTCAACATGCCACCTTCCAGGTGAGGAAACCGAGGCACCGAGAGTTGGGGTCCAGGCCAGGGGGCCTCCCCTGGGGGGAGCAAAGGAGTGTCGGACCTCAGGCGTGGCTCTGAGGGCTGAGCCGCCACGGGGCGCTGCCTCCCGGGTCCAGTTCTGGGACAGGGCTCGGGGGAAGGCACCTTCCGTCCTGGTTCCATCAATGGGTCCGCTGACCCTGGGAAAGGGACAGGCCAGAGGAGGCCTCAGGTCACCGCACCATGAAGCTGTGGGGAGCCTGGGGGCGTCTGGGCTGCCAGCCGGGCAGGCAGAGCAGGGGGCCGCCTGCCGAGAGGGGAAGGACAGTGCCGGGGCGGACACCTCCGTGCACACAGAGGAACACGCGATGGCTGAGCCGGCACCGAGAGGCAGCGGGGCGTGTGGGGGCGGCTGGCGGCAGAGCCACGGGATCCCGGGCCGGAGCACGGGGCCTTTCCGGAGGCAGGGTCCGGGTCAACACTCACCCGTCCCCTCAGTGTCTACGCCATTGCACTGTTTGATCCACGAGGTCCCATTAGGGCGATTCATCGATCAGTGCGGGTCCGAGGTGAAGGGCGGCCGGTGTGGGATGTGCCAGCAGCCTTCTTAGCAAAGGAGAATTCTGGAACCAACCAGAACGCTCCTGAAAGGGGGCTGGTCCTGTCTGCCCCACCCACCC